AAGAAACAGATCACGGGGGGTGGTGAGTTTTGTGCAATAGAGAAACCAAAGGGGCATTTGACTAACAACATATATAATAATTTTAATAAAGACAAACAACTTTCCTCTTCATTATAATTTAATAAAGAGACACGTATTTCCAGTTGCTACCATATACGTATAATAAATAATAATTCCTATCTACCAAAAATTTATAGTCTAAATATAAAAGCTTATTATATATGTAATTATTTAATTTAAAAAATTATAAACATTATTAAAATACGTGTCATCTAATAATTTTGAAGTGATATAATCTTAAATAAAGATTTAAATTTTAAAAAATTATTGAATTAATAAACTGTAAAAAAAAAAAAAAATACATCACACACAGAGTCAATAATTAATTTTGATATGACACACAATCAATTGTTATTTTTTGGCGTTGCAAATTTATTTAAAAAAAGTATAGAATAAGTTACAGTTGGGATGGGAATATATATAATTCCTTTACTGTTTATTTCCCACTCAAGCATTTGGAGTATTAACCAATACTCTTTTTTTAATAATAGACCATAATAATCTTTATAGCAATATATGTACATACGTATACAAATATATATATATATCGAGTTGTAATCGAAGTTTGACCCGTCAAGCTGTACTTTCTCGAGTGTTTTCGTCGTTCTAATTAAAATGCCAAGAGATGGGATCTATTGACTTTCACCATAGAAACAAATTAAATATTCATAGTTTATTAGGGAAAAAAAAAAGATGACAGACTAAACAATATATATATATATATATTTATTTATTTATTTATTTATAGCAGGATTCCAGCAAATTAGCAGGCTAGTTATCATATTATTCTCAAAAAAAAAAAAATGCGATGCTAATTAAACATTAAATGACCATTGAACATTATGAGAAAAATTCAATGGGGAGAACCATTTGTTTATACCAAAAAGAATTCTTGATCCAGATATATATATATATATATATATATATACACACACACACACACACATATATATATATATGTATGTATGTATGTATAACTGAAATCAGTAATTACAAAAATCTATTTAAAAAAGAAATGAGACACCCATGTGAGGATTTCACATTTTTTATATACTCTCCAAAAATAGAGTATTAATTAAGGTTAAAATTTTTTCATTCTATGCACAAAAAGAAGCAACATTAATTAGACCCATGAACATAATTTTGTAAAAGAAAAATTATTAGTATGTGTATGATTAAACATACAAAGTTATTATTATTATTATTATACAAAACTACATTATTTTCCAATTTCTCCTTCTCATTCAAGTTATTTCTTATCTGTTTTTTTTTTTAATTCTAATTAATTTTTTAATAAAAAATTATATATTTTATTATTATGTATATACATAATC